CGTCCTTTACCGTTTGGTACAAACGGTCTGCACAGAGCAATGGATTGAATAGTGCAGTGCTTTCACACTCAGCCTAAGCAGTCAATAATTTTAAGCTCTGAGCAGCCATGAGTGCATTGAGATTGCGTTACGATGTTGCAAATCAAAAGGGGAATCACTTCACCGTGAGTGATAAGTTGTCACTTCACCGTGAAGTGATATCGGTAATAAGGATTTATATTTAATATCAAGATTAATTTCATACATCTTCTAACACTTGGCGTCATCAACGTTTTAAAAAAGTTGGAGCATTTTGATATATTTGCATTCAAAGTTTCCAAATGAAAAAATCGCAGAGTTGGCAACACTGTAGAAAAAATACGGTCATAAAAGGGTACCCAATGGGGTTAGTATCCTTATTGGTTTCTGAGATATGTAAACATTTAAATTGGTGTTTATTAAAAATCGGCAAAGAGCCGGAGGTGGGTTGATCGATTGGCACAAAACTTTGGATTTTATAGTTTTTGACTAAAATGAGTAGACACACCAATCTTGGTTCAAACATGAGAGGGTCGATACATTTTTTCGGTAGCTTGAAATGGAATGACCCATGTTTATTTGTTATAAGCAATCATCGCTGAATGTATATAAACGATTCCTTAGTCTTTCAGTTTCAATCTGATTACATTTTTAAGACTATTATGCCTGGTCAAAGGGTAATCAACTCTGCACATTGTGCCGAAACACATCGTGGCACATTGATCGGCGTGTCATGGCACACGATGACAAGTATGACACAAAACATAATGTAAAATGGCATCACTGTTTTGTGATGACATTTTGTCAATCGTTGCTAAGGTTTACTTCCTCGTTTAATTCAAAGTAACTGCCATTTTCCAGCGAAATTGTCCCCAATAATAATAAGAGATTGTATAATTGACGAGACTCTCTTTATTCCAATGCCTTCTTCGGGAATGAACCTCTACAGAAAGTCCACACGGCTTCTGAGAGATGTCCATAGTTTCAGGGAAGTCCAAACGAACTAGTGAGAGTCACCACGCCCTGCAGAATAGGTCAGAATTAACTCCAGAATTAAGATTATGTACTACACCCCGGTACCGAACGATCCTACCATTTTTTAGATGCATTTGCAATCACATCTGTTTCTCCCGAATAACACCCCGGTACGATTGATGGCTCACCAATCAGTCAGCCGTACATTCATTCTATGGACTGAACTCGGATTCGATTGACTGTGGAGGCCTCTCTACGCTCCTTTCGCAACTTTTCGTTTCACCGACGGCAAGAGCAACATTAAGAAAGATGCTGCTAACAGAATTGTGAAGGTAACCACACCGGACGTAACAGAGCCAATTTGATTCGCGGTCTTAATGAACGCAATCGGACCCAGCAGTAGTTTCAGGGAAATTAATATGCGATTCCGGAATGACCAAGGATAAGCAATATGATGGAACAACAGGCAGAGACAAGGAAGAGGTAATCATCAAACGACTGTATGACAGTATCGAGATTCTGGACCGACATTTGGATAAACCACGGACGAAGTAATTTGAGGGGTGTCAGACGAATTTAGTACATAACCACCACTGACACTGGGAAGCTACTGCAGGTCTATTACTACCGCCGGTGGGCATTTTAAGTCGAGTCCTTCCTATTTTTCAGATTGTAGCATTGCCCGAGTAGCATGACAATATTGCAGACAAGATTCATGTTCCACTTGCCGGTTGGGTTCTTGCTTTTGGCAAACGTCTACCAGAAGGACGCACGGTAGAGAACTGTATTCTCCTTGATGGACAACTTCTGCCATCAGTCACCCTTCTCCTTCTCGCGGAGGGGCTAATCTTCGAGTGCCACTTCCTTGAAGCGAATCACCGGCAATCAGCTCGTTGAATATTATCACGACTTTTTTCCGTCCTTGACTTGAAAATGTAAACACACAATCTCAAAAGTCATAAGTGCAGGGTTGCCAAACTCATGGGCTACTGAGACTGATAGCTTGATTGCCACACTTCGGCACGTTCAGCACAACGCTTGACCTAGCTTTCGGTACAGATAAAGTAGTCGGCTAAGATTAGGATGTGAAGGTTGAATATCCCTTGTGCCAGGTTTTTCTTTAAATGATGAGTTGCCGATAATAGAACAGCTGGTTAACACGCACACACTTGATGTAGCTCGGTAAAATCTCCAACAGCCGATTGCCTCGGCATTTACTTTTGCTGATATCTCAGCAAAATGTTATTTGTTAGCTGAGTTTCGGCAATTGTTTTACTGAATTTGGAGGCGAACCAGCCCAAGGCTGAAAGCCTCCTTAATAAAGCTAAATAATAATAATGTTTTACTGAATCTCAGCAAAATAGATAGCAGTACTACTCGGCTGTTGGAATTTTGGCGAAAACATTTAAGTGTGCAGTTCAAATGGAAAGGTTGACGACGACATAACCAACAATCAATACGAAACTAACGATTTTAATCTGGCTCACCACTTTAGTAGCCTATTGGTCCCAAGCAAACGATGCTTGGGACCGTTGTTCTGGTACTGAGTGAGCCAAAAATAATAATGATTTTCTTCGGGACCCAGTGGTCTTAGAGTTACCTCTATGACATAACCTATGGACATTAGTCACATTCATCTGAGAAGTTTTCAAAACGTGTTCAAACCGTTTTTGACAGTTCTGTCGATAGAATAGCAAGCAGCAGATAAATGTAAACAAACAAATACGTCTTGTGTGTACGTTACGCATAGAAGTGCGGACACTGCTTAGATTGACGAGAATACGTAAACTCCCCTGTCTCAAATTGTCCTTGTTCATTTTTTTAAGTGAAGCTCATGAAAAATGCAAACTTTTGAAATATTGAAAACCTTGGACACTTGAAAACTTACATAAATAGAACAACAAGAAACAGGAATTTCCAGAAGAGCACGGGGCTTATTGCCAACAATCAATACGAAACTAACGATTTTAAATTGGCTCACTACTTGACTAGCCTATTGGTCCCAAGCAAATCGATTAACGTATCCCATTCTTGTCAAAATTCTAGTACTACACATTGTTTGTTTTGATTCGCTATGAAAGTTTGACAGATAAAATGAGGGGTTATTGGATATTCCTATGTTTCGAGGGGTGAATCGATAAGCTTGGGACCGGAGATAGTACCAGAGCTGTGCCAAAAAGTTAAGCTCGTTTCTTCGGGACCTTCTGGTCTTGAGTTACCTCTATGGTAATGCAGCGTACCCACTGCAATTTCTCGGTTGACCTTCAACAAATTTAGCTGATTTGTTTTAATGTGTTTAGTGTCAACCAGTGATGCATCGCAGTTTTGGTGCTTTTTCATTGCTTTTTTATTATAGAATGCTAACGAAAATCCAGTTGAATTTTCAGTTAACCTAAAATGCTAAATTTCCGCACCACTCGAGAGCGCTCTCAAGAGTACCTTCAGTAAAAACACAGAGTGTGGCTCTGCGGCGTGGAAATTTTGCATTTTGATAGGGAGATTAATAGCACTAAGCTATCTATTTTAAGATACGTTAACTGAACATTGAATTGGATTTAACGTAAGCATTCTATATTAAAATAAATAGTCACCGGTATCGAGGGATTCATGTAATCATGAACTGACTCTTGGCAGCGTTATTCGTTGGGTAATTTTCTATCATCTCAGGGGTGAGCACGCTGAATTCAAGAGACAAACGGGTCAGTTATCTCAGAAAATTACAACACCTCAATAATAATCCTCAAACTGTCACTCTAACCTTCACCGAACTTACCTCAGTAACCCCCTGTCAGTCAATGCATCACCGAGAATCTAGACCACTTGACACATGCAACCTTGATTGGAACAATGTTTTCTCTTTCACAACATCGACACCGGCCTTTGTAATCTGTAAGCATACCGTAAGGAGGGTTGGGCCCTCTTATCACATCATATTGTCGGGGAAAAACAGAAGAAACATTTTTCATGTGTCTCAGTTGTACAACGGAGAAATTCCGCGGGCAGCTCGTCGAAAAATTTTATGACCTAACAGTCGCAATCAATTTTTTTAGAAACGAAAAAAAAAAGAAAGACTGATTATCGAGAAAATGCATCACTCATCACACACTCGGACCGCTCACTCTCTGCCTACTGGGGAACACGATGCTGATGAAGATAATAAAATTATTATCATCGAAGCTAACACACTCACCGCCTGCTGGGACCGGGTCGGGTAATAGCCGCAACTAATAACAATAAAACTCGAATAAAAATATCCGATTGGGAATTGCTGTAGGCTTTCCTTGGCGATGAGCGTTTTGTCTGTCAAACTATGCGATCGGGTTGCGATGCGCGATGATCGATGAAAGGGTGGGCGGTCACGTGGAACACGGAGCGAGGGCTTTCTCGCTGCGCCGTCCTGCCTGGGATGATAATGCGATATGCTTTTTACACACCAGCAGCAGCAGGCCATGCATATGTATGAAGCAGCCCAACTTCCAGCCAGAGTAGGCTATGTTGTTGTTGTTGTTGGTTGCAAGGCAATACCTTTTCATCCTCGAATCGTTTCTTCGTTTTCGCTGCTGAATCCCTATAAGAAAATCCGAACACGCGAAAAGTCCAAAACGAGCCGTTGCTCTGCGTCCGCGCCCTCTCTCGTACAACCAGCCCTTCCCTACATACACAATCGCACTTCTTCCAACCCCCGCGTGCTCGTACTTCCGTTCGTCGCCTGGCTACGTTCGCATCCACGAGGTCTCTACAGCGGAGCTCTTTGCCGAACGACGACCGACCGACGGCGACGGTTGGAATAGTGATGGAAGCTTCCCATCAGGCGTGCGGCTGTGTTGGTGAGTGCGAACGTATCCATACACGCCGACGATACGATAGACGGTAAGCCGGAAAGTTTGCGCGCCTGTGGTGGTTCTTCGGGCATCCAGTAATACCATATATGGTCAAAAGCGAAGCGACTGGGCATGCTACCAACGGTTCGAATGGTGGGGTACTATTTATAATCTGAGTGTTGTTTAAAAATTGTATCACTACAGTTCTTGTAATCGTGCTGTGAACATTATTTAGTTTAACAAGAGAAAGAGTGGTTCGCAAGAGTGTCTACAAGTCGTAGCTTAACATTTTCTGTGAAAACTAGAAGCTACGCTGATCCTGTCTCTTCCTTGAAGGAGCAAACCACACGCAGAAATACACACACAATTAATTTATTTGTAATTTAGGATTTTTTATATTTAATAAACCAAATGTAAGTAACAAAGTTCCCACAAATCCTATAAGAAAATCATCCGAGAGAGAGTTTAAACAAGTGCTAACGAAAAAAAAAACAAGAATTGTTCGACAAGTGCCATCCAAAAAGGACTAAAAAGGACGTTTTGTGCTTAAATGGACAGTAAACTAGTGATTTTGTGATGCAAAAAAAAAAATCATAAGGACGTTGTAACCAAAAACCGATAGCTCATCGGAAGAAAATAAAACAAGTGATTTCAACTGGGAAAATTGGATTAAAGCGATTAAATTATCGCTTCCCAAGAATTGTGCAAAACCAAATGGGGAAAATAGCAGTTGTATCAACAGCGGCAGCGGCACCAGCAGCAGCAGTGACAATCCTGGAATGTGTTCAATAACTTTCGACCTACACAGCCACTTCTCAGCGGTTGTTTCGGTGTCTCGAATTCTCGAGTGGCAGTTTCCTAAGAACCGACCCTTGGTGAACAGACAAACAAACAAAAATCAATTTGTCTCCAACCGTTCGTTGTGCGGGAAATAGCTCAAACCAGCCAGGGGCAGAGGCGGTATCAATCGCTGCTGCCTGCCTCCGCAATGTCCGCAGCTCCCCGTTAGAGCAGAGTGGAAAACAAGTCTCCTGATGGAATCATCGCGCTCTGCCACGGGAAATGCGGAGGCTGTGAGCGAGCCGTGGAATGCAGCAGACCGAGGTTCTCCCAGTCAATGGTGATATTGCTGGGGTGGCGGAAGTGCCACGACATTGGGGTGACTCTAAATTTCGATGGTTTCACCGTACTCTCTGCGGTGCATGCTGCACGCACTCGAGACGGGCTTGCAGCGCCAGTGAAAAGAGAGTGTGCGACTTTTCTGTACCAGCAATTACATTGATGGAACGAGAAAGTTGCACCTCACCCGACCGAGCGTATAGTAGCATAGGCTATGGGAAAGCTACTGCAGCGACTAATTTGGAGCTTTCTCACGGTGTTTCCTAAAGCATCGACGTGGCTGGATTTAGTTTGGGGGATGCAGGAAAATTCCTTCCCAAGAATTTTCGCTTGGGAGATCGGTTTCTGCGAGTTTGCGAAGTTGTTCAGTTAATTTAGTTTTTCTTTATTAACTTGGAATTCATCAAAATGAGACGATTTTCGTTTGGAATGTTCACAAACATTTCAAGCTGAACAGAAGTTTTAACTGAATCATTACGCTTAAGTGATGTTATCGTTTCGTTAGCTGTAATACAAACAGTTTTTTGGAAACAAATTTGGTTCCTTTGGGATCCTTAAAGTTGGTTGATAATATACATCAAATTCAAGATTAATTATAGCGGAATAACTAGATGCTTCATGCTTTAAGATAAACTTTTATGTGTACCGAATATAACTACTAAGGAGGTGAAGTTTGCCTTTGGTACGAAATCCTTTTTCCGTTTCGATTAAATATGTGAAAGTTAAATCTTTCATTCTCAAATTGTTCGTGAGCAACAATTTTTACACAACCTTGGTTGAAGCTGGGTGACTATTTCAACAAATAGTTTGCCAATGGTGAGCAAGATACACCATTTATCAACTACTGGTGTAAATATTCGAAATCAATGGGTGAAACAGTAATTTTTTTCATAAATTCATTCCGTTGTAACACATATTTGTGGCTCAAATTTGGACCAAAGTTTCAAATTTGGTTAGAAATCGTGCAATGATTTGTGAGGAAATATAAAAAAGGAGTTTTTTTTAAAAAGCTGCTCTAAGCTAAATTCCAAACCTTTTTCAGATAATGATGGCTTCCAAACTTTATATCAGCCTTATATCAGTACAAGCGATTAGTGGGCCTGTTGGTTACTTGAGTTGTTCGGGATCGAAATCAATTCTGTTAATTTCACAATAAAAAAAAATTCACTGAAAAGTGACTTCAAACCGAAGCTGGCTTTTGAATTCTTGTTTCGGTTTGATCCACAAAGAAATAATAAAACTAAACCAAGTATCCAAGATGATCTGGGTTGGAAAAAAAGTTCAATAACTTTATTATGCCCATATAAAGACCTTCCGAAGCGCAGTAGAGACAAATCCATAATTTGCCGAAGAAAGAGATAAAGTTAGTCCAGCTCAGTCATCTGTAACTGCTAACTTTGGCAAAGTCTCTTCCCAACTTTTGGAAAGTCTTCTTCACATTCTTATTCGAGGCCGCTGCTTTCCAAAGTTGGATGGCGTGCAATCTGATCGCAACAACTTGTTATGTTTGTAAACAAATCGGTCGACATGTACAGCACACGTAGACACTTCGGCACCGATGTGTGCCACGTGTGCATGTGTGCAGGCGCCTCGTGTGCTGAAGGTCTGTTTCACTCGTTTCAAGGTTGAAATGGACAGCTGATTTTTTTGGAGCTTTGTTTACCTGTGAAGGTGCTATTCGGCCGCTAAGTTGTTGTTTTTAAACAACGATTGTTTAGCCTGGATTTAAATGGAGCGGCAATGCCCAAAAACAATAACTTGAAAGTATATTTTGCTTGCAAAATGGATTCACTTAATAGCTTGGGGGAATCCTTTTTTGGGAGATTTCAATTTGTTGAAATTTTCGTGGCAAATGTTTAAGCTTGAATACATTCAATAGCCGCTAAGCAAAGGGCATTTAACTGAAATGCAGTTTACCGGAAAGTTCTCTCACTAAAACAAGGTACAGTTAAATTACACTTGCCTGTTGAAATTGTCAAGGAAAATCGGCCGCACAACAGTGCTGATTTAGCATGTGAAATGCATTTCAATTTTCAAGATGGAAAGTAAATAATTTGAATCAACAAATCATAAATTGCATGAGTTTTATCCACGGTTTACGATCCTTGCTATAGGACATATTTTACAGACCGTTCAAATTGACTATTCGTGATTTAGAGAACTTTCCTACGATGAAAAATTCTGCAATGTACAGCCACTGCTGCTTTGCTACGAACAAAAAGTTTAAGAAGCTGCGTTCATTTTTCAGCTCATTTGAATGTAAAAAAAATTCTGGTTTACAATGACGTTTAACAGCATTTTTTTTCGAAAATCTAATCCCACGAGAACCACCCTAGCAAAGCTCTCGAATGACGCGTCGCTATGCTTTTTTTCAAGTTCGCACACTCATCGTCCCACTCACCCGCCTGCCACCCACCCACCAGTCATTCGCGAGCCCGCTCTGATATGGCTGGCTGCTGATGACGAACACACAAGTTCACGTGAAGAAACGCCGGCTCGAAAGCAGCGCACCTCACCCATCGTTGGCACAGTGGGTTGGGTTTGGTTGAGGTGGTTTTGCGGGTGCTGCGCTGGCTGTCAGGGGCGAACGGGTGGGGTACCGCTATGACTTTACGTGGAAATTAAGCATTTTTCAAACATTGCCTTATATGGTCATGTTCACGCGATTGGTCCATTTTGCGAGAGGGCGAGAGAGCGAACCAACCGACGGAGAGCTTTTCCAGCCAAGGAAGCCGAAGCAAAAACATGAGTCAGCCGCCAGAGGCCAGCCAGTGCGTGAAGAAGAGTGAGAGCTTTCAAAAGGCTCTCGCTCTCTCACTCGCAGGCTGAACTGAATCTGAATGTGGTCGGTGGTGGCACTCACTGGAAGAGCCGTTAGCTCGCTGCGAGGCGTCACTTTCCAACCAAAGTCAAAAGTCTCGTCCGCTCATTCGCTCGTGTTCGTTCGGACCAGGTAGTCGCGTGTGTTGTGAGTAGTGCCGCTGGAGGAATAACCGATTCACCCCCAAAAAAGGATTTACTGACTGCTGCTGCTGCCTACCACCGGTGTGCAACCTTATTCTTCTGTTTTAACCAGGACTCAGAACCGTAAAGCTCCCCGGTACGTGTGTTAGAATTTTTTGGTTAATGGACGGTCAATTTTGGGAGTTTGAAGTTGCAACGGAATTTCGTGTTAATTGAATTAACCCTCGGTGGTTTGTGAGTTGCGATTTTCGAAAATTTTGAAAGGCTTCTCGCTGGCGGCGACTGGATACTTCTGGAAAACCCAAGAGGCTTTTGTTCTTGGGCGTTGGCCGGCATTTTGTGCTGTGGCTGATTTCCGGTGGATATTCTCTTCATTCATGTTCTTGTTCTTCACCGGTTCTTGCTGTACGAAAAAAAAAATATATGACCGGTGTCCTTTCCGTGTTAACCGAGGAGAACAAAATGCCGGTACGGCTATTGATTTTCGAGTGAATTTTTTCCACTTCTAAAAACCACATGTCCAATCGAATCGAATTTCCCCGGTGATCGATTACGATAATTGAAGATTTCCGTTGCCCATTTCGTGTGGAGTGCAGCAATCAAGAACGATAATTTCGATCAATTTTCGCCTTTTATTTCCTCGATGGGAACAAAAGCCGTTCGGAACAACCACCATAGTGATTTTTCGGATCGTCGTCGCCACTCATCGCTCACCAACACACTCACCCAAATCGAATTGAGTGATTCACCACTACTGCTGCCTGGTTCTGGTTGCGCAGTACTAGAACGATTAGATGTCGAATCATCATTTTTTTTTTCGAAAACTTCCGTCACTCGATGAAGAACAACAAAAACGAAGACTTGCTGACCTAAGCGGATGAACCGATTACCGCAGCGCAGTCAAAGGAAGATTGGAATCAGACGAGTCGAACAGTTTTTTTTTTTTTTTTTTTGTTCCCATTTCAAGCACTTCTTTATCGTTAGTCCCATTTTCAAGTGAGTGGGCGTTGTCGCTCCAACCTACCCCGGAGGAATCGCCTTAAGGGATTTCAATGCCCGTGCAAGCGAGGAGGTGTTTACGCTTTTCCGAAAGGAAAGATCCTCACTCAAGATTGGCCACGTGGGCCGTCCTCCCCATCAGGGAGTCATGTGAGCGAGCCCCCTTATCTCTGCTAGTGGCGATTTAGATAACGCGTAAGCACCTGACTCAACACAGTTAGATGGAACCGTTTCCACGCGAAACGGTACCTACTCTTGCTGCTGTAACTGTGCCGCCTAGCGAGACAGAAAAAAAAAACCCGTTCACTTGAAGATGTGGAAGCAGCGCTCTCCCGCCGCCTAACGGGGCATCATGATTTCCAGACACTTATTAATGATTGCGTTTCTCCTTCTCCCCCACTTCTATGATCATGATGAGCAGATATCAACATGTGTGACGAAGAAGTTGCCGCCCTCGTTGTCGACAATGGATCCGGTATGTGCAAGGCCGGTTTCGCCGGAGACGATGCCCCACGGGCCGTCTTCCCGTCCATCGTCGGTCGCCCCCGTCATCAGGGTGTGATGGTCGGTATGGGACAGAAGGACTCGTACGTCGGTGACGAAGCCCAGAGCAAGCGAGGTATCCTGACCCTGAAGTACCCGATCGAGCACGGTATCGTCACGAACTGGGACGATATGGAGAAGATCTGGCATCACACCTTCTACAATGAGCTGCGTGTTGCCCCCGAGGAGCACCCAGTCCTGCTGACAGAGGCCCCCCTGAACCCGAAGGCTAACCGTGAGAAGATGACACAGATCATGTTCGAAACCTTCAACACACCGGCCATGTACGTCGCCATCCAGGCCGTGCTGTCGCTGTATGCCTCCGGTCGTACCACCGGTATTGTGCTGGATTCCGGCGATGGTGTCTCGCACACAGTCCCCATCTATGAAGGTTATGCCCTGCCACACGCTATCCTGCGTCTGGATTTGGCCGGTCGCGATCTGACCGACTATCTGATGAAGATCCTGACCGAACGTGGCTACTCGTTCACCACCACTGCCGAGCGTGAAATCGTTCGTGACATCAAGGAAAAGCTCTGCTACGTCGCCCTGGACTTTGAGCAGGAAATGGCCACCGCTGCTTCGTCCTCCTCGCTGGAGAAATCCTACGAACTACCCGACGGACAGGTCATCACCATCGGAAACGAACGCTTCCGTTGCCCGGAGGCTCTCTTCCAGCCATCATTCCTGGGTATGGAAGCCTGCGGTATCCACGAGACCACCTACAACTCGATCATGAAGTGCGACGTCGATATCCGAAAGGATCTGTATGCCAACACAGTATTATCCGGCGGTACCACCATGTACCCAGGCATTGCCGACCGTATGCAGAAGGAAATCACCGCCCTCGCCCCATCGACGATGAAGATCAAGATCATTGCCCCACCAGAGCGCAAATACTCCGTCTGGATCGGTGGTTCCATCCTGGCCTCGCTGTCCACCTTCCAGCAGATGTGGATCTCCAAGCAGGAATACGACGAGTCCGGCCCATCCATTGTCCACAGAAAGTGCTTCTAAGCATCTTCTTATCTTATTATTACTAATTATAACACACTCTTCAACCAACAACAACAAGAACAACAATGAGAAACCAACAGCAACAGCAGCATCAACAACAACAACAACAACAGCGCAAAGTAATGATGAGAGAAAACGCGAAATAAGAGAGAGATTACAAGAACAACAACAACTACAATTTCCAGCAAGAAGTTGAAAAAGACATAAACACACACACATTCGAAAAACAACTTAAAATAAAAAGACAATTCCTGTATTATTACTTATAATAATCGAAGCGAGTAATGTTTATTCTTCTCCAATCAAACACAACAACAATTCATTAATTATTTAGTCGCATCGCATCATTTAATCAGATCAGTTTATTTTGTTTGTGTATTTTTTTTTCATATTTTACACGTGTAGCCAGTTTAAACGAAATGTAAAACGGACGTTATTTACGCATTACATGATAGTAGGTTTAAGGAAATCGCGCGTCTGCCGCCGCGCGATCTAGAGAGAGGTAGAGCAAACTACTTAGTCCTCTGTTTTTTTCCCAATCCCCTTCCAATTTAAGCTAAAAACAAGAAGACGAAATCGAGTGCGAGTGAGAGAGAGAACCAAAAAGTTACTACTACTTACAATATTTTGTGTAATCAATGATGATTAATAAGTCACAAAATGTAGTAAGCCAAAAGCGAAGAATAAGAAAAATTGCTAGAAAAACCTTGAAAAAAAAACAAACAAACGTTGTAAAGAAAAAAAAAACCAAGTCCCAGATCGAATGGTCACTTCCCCGCGAATTTGATTGAAATTATTTTGCTTGCATTATTCGTATACAACATTATTTAATAACCGCGCGTTTGAATATTTATTACCAGCTAAGTCAATTAATTTATTCGATTTATTTTCCAATCAAACAAAAATCTATTCTTTTTTTTTTCACACGTTTAGGTTAAGAAAATTTTCCTTTCAGTTTTTTTCCCATCACTTTTAATTCGCCTTGAAAACCCCCCACAGCCGCCCGAGACCCGAGGAATACCCAAAAAACACCATCCTTCTTCCAATTATTCCAGCAATCGGGTCCTCGAAGCGCGCGGGGATTTGAAAGGAAGAGTAAGAGAGATTGATTGCGTTTAATCAAAAGTGAGGAAAAGCCCCCCCCCCCTTTCATTATATAGGATTATAATCGATAATCAAATGCAGAAAAAATTAAATAAACATATACGTACATAACAGAGGACAAGTTTGTTCCCACGTCGCCCGCGGGCAAGTGGGAGGAACTTTTCCTTGGGATGATCATTCGAATTTGAAAAAAAAACAATCTGGTAGTTTTTACTTCGCTCTGGTTCTCGTGCTCTCGCTCGCGGTCGTGGTCTGATGACGGAAATAAGAGGAGTTTGCTCTACATGTGCCCTAGTTTTATGTGTACTTGGTAGTTGAGCATTAGATATCTTCGGTCGTCCGCCGTCAATATCCGAACATTCCCAGGCGTCAGGTGGTTGGCTGTCCGCTTCTGGAATTCTCCTTTGGTGAAGAATGTTGTTTTCCTATAGTTCGGCAAAATTGGATGGAAAATACTGCCTATAATCGCATATCAGTCCCATATGGATTTTCGCCAACTTTGAGATTACAACGCTATCCACTATCAATTACCATCTACTTTCATATTACGTGATAAAAAGTTCGTAGTTTGATCATGAAAAATGTGTAAACAACATCAAGTCAGTTTGTCGCATCAAACTAAGTAATCGCATATCAGTTCCATCCTGAAATTCAATCGTCTAGAGGTCAAGTTACAGTTCTGCTTTTTGAGTCGCCATATTTTTCGCTGATATAACAAATGATGCAATTACCGATTAATTTACTATGATTTTTTTTAAATATTTACATGGAAATTGCACTTCTCAACTTCAACTGGCATTTTCTCGATGTCTACTTTTTCCATATGGGACTGACATGGGATTATAGGCAGAATACATATCGCTCGAAAAAGGCAGGGGTAAAAACTAATTAGCCATTCAAAATTTGAGAGCAACAGCTTGAATCGGTTCCAGAAACATGAACTCTAAATTCCATTTATGACCTGAAAACTCAGATTGAGAATTTCCTTATACAACTACATTACAAACTAATGGTGAAAGCTTAGACTTGAACAATTTAAATCCAGGGGGAAAAATTCTTGGACTAGCGACATTTGTTAAATAGGCCTATTCTGCGCGGCGTGTGAGGTGAGGTGACACGCTGTCACTTCTGAAGTGACAATTGTCACCTCGCGTTAGGTGACTCTCCATTTGATTTGCACGGAGACTCACCTCACCCGAGGTGACAATTGTCACTAGGTTTTTCGTTGTTTTGAAATGCAAAAATGTATTTTCGAAAAAAGTGCTTGAACAAAAGATGTTGAAATGCTTTCCTGAAGACGAGTGCACGGAATGACAAGTTCAACAGCAAGCTTACCCTCTCGATATCCAACTGATCTGCAGTAATCCTGAGGTGCAGCAATATGAGCGTACCTTGCCGAAGACTAGCCCGCTATATAAGAGCTCAGCCCAGTCATCGCTGAGCACGGTGTTCTACGGATGCGTGGACGTATCGATGCTTGCGAGTATGTAGATGAATCTACCAAGAATCCGATCCTTCTGCCCAGGCGCAACTACGTATCCGACCTAGTGCTCGCCGACTAACATCCCCCGTCTCCGTACAGAGTTCGAACGAGTTTGCAGAAACTGTCAGCGTTGCAAAATTCGGCAAGCGAGTCCCAGGCCTCAAGCAATGGGGAACCTCCCAGCTGTCCGGTTGGCACCATTCCAGCGACCGTTTTCTTACACCGGAGTCGACTACTTCGGGCCGTTGCCAGGTCTAGTCGGCAGACGTACCGAGAAAAGATGGGGAGTGCTTCTCACCTTCATGACAAGCAGAGGCGTGTACATTGAAATAGCACATTCGCTGACGACAGACTCGTGCATCCTAGCGCTACGTAATTTTATTGCTAGAAGTGGTCCACCGCTCGAGATGCTTAGCGATCGAGGAACGAACGGGAGCTGCGTGAAGCGCTGAAACTCGTCGACAAGAACACTAAGACCAAGTAGACGGTCAACCCGGACCATGAACGATCAGCCACGTTCGCCTTCGGATGAAATTCTGCGTTCCATGTTAATGGAGATCGAGATGATATTGAACACAATACTGCTCACTGACATACCTCTAGATAATGACACTGACACCCCCCCCCCCCCCCCCCCTTAACACCGAACCACTTTATGTTAGGTTATTCGGATGGGAGCAAGCCGGTCCCACTGTGCTGAAGCGATCGTGGAAGATGGCCCAGGTATACGCCGACAACTTCTGGAAGAAGTGGATGGACGGGTACTTGCCTACGTTGACCCGCAAGACAAAATGGTTTCAACCCGTAAAACCTATCCAAGAAGGTGATCTGGCGTTGATAGCTGACTCCAAGCTTCCGAGAAACTGTTGGCCGCGAGGACGCGTGGTCAAGGCAGTTCAGGCAACGGACGGACAGGTTCGGCGCGTGACCGTTCAGACGTCGAGTGGACTTCTGGAGAGACCAGCGACCAAGATTGCGGTGCTAGACGTCAGTGCAAACGGTGGTAAGCCACTCGAACAACAGCGGCGTACCGAGGGGGAGTGTCACAACCCTGTGCCTTATGACGCACCTCTTCCACCACAACAACCTCGGTGGCAGAATCCACCACAAAAACCTCGTCACCAGAATCCAACTCCGACCGTGGTTTCCAGCTGTCAAACGCGATGATGTGGAAGTTTTTCTTGGTAGGGCCAAAGAGTGAACTTCCATGTGGATAGGGGAGGTTTTTTGTGAAACCAGGAGCAACTTTGTTTAAAAATTAATTACTCCTACTTAAATCTAGATTAAATACTAGGGCAGTGTTTTGCAAACTTACGAACTACTTACAAACTATACTACTTACTACACAAAATACAAAGGCAGGTAAAAATCAAAAGGCAAATCATGCACAATTTAACCTAACCATAAAAATATCCCACAGCTATACACAGAAATAGTACGGATTGTTGCGAGTATGGGCAGATTTATTACTAGAAGAACAGTAAATGTAAGTAGCCATCAACATAAACTCGTATATTAAGAAAAACAAACACATCTAACAAGTATCCTAAACATAAAGGTACACACGAATTGTAGCTTATTTTTCTTGGTAAGGCCAAAGAGTGAACTTCCATGTGGATAGGGGAGCCCAAACTAATGTATTTCATATCCATTCTTCTCAAAGGGATTTTTTAACATACCATATTGAAATAAATGTTAAAGAATTGCAAATATCTTCTTCTTCCTGTCGGTAGCACTCAGCGAACGCCACAAATTCGGCTTCGCTACTGCTTAGCGCAATGCAAGTTTGCTTGCGTGATGCCCAAAAAATCGGTCATCCGCCGTACAAGAACACGTATCCGGAATTGGATTTTCGACTGGCTGCATCCCTCGCTGCATCCGTAAACCTCCAATGTCGACTCCTCGGCTTTCAACGAAAGTGTGTGCTCCTGCGTAGATCGCAAATTCCTCAGGACACGTTTGGCTTCTGTCCAATCAGCTTGCGATGGTATGCTAGTTCAACGTCCCAAAATCGCTATAGACGCAGCGATGTCCGATCGATTATTCACCGCCACATATAACAGACCACCGATTAGGTTGGCGTATTGATGGTTGTTTGGCAGCATTTCTTTCTCCTCCTTCTGTTTTAGGTGGCCGGGATCAATTGCACCAACAGCTTCAGATGTAAGACTTCTGATTAAGTTTGAATGACTTACCATCACGCTGGACATGGATGCCGAGGAAATTCTTGAGGTCTTCCAGGGATGTGACCGTAAAATCTCAGATTCAGATTAAAGCCTTGTCGTTTTCGCGCGCAAACAGGTTCACCAGCTGGATTTTTTATGTAAACATGACCAGCTGTGAGCTCGAGAACAAAGGAGTTAAAAGTAAACAACAGAAGAAAATTTCTTTTAATTTAATAACATAACATTTAATGTTATGGAAACCAAGCGTTATAAATTTTCCAAGGTGGGATTGGTGAGAACAAAATTTGAGAACGACAAAATTAAAATCACTCGAGTCTAAATGAAAAAAAAACTTCTCAATATCTGACATGACCAATTGTCAAGGTATTAAAATTAACAAAAATTCAAAATGTTGGATATTGGGCATCTTTAAATTTTAGAGATTGCAAATTTAACAAAATATCCCGTGGCTTAGTAATTGTTTGAGACACTCACTTCGTTTATGATTTCATGGTATTTAATATAATTTTACAGTCTGAACATGGCGAGAACCCCTCTTCAGGGCATCAACTAACCTAAGCACGTTCATGCTCATTTGCAAAATCGAACCCAAACACCCACACCACTTTGCTTTGTTTTGATTCATATCCAATCCTATCCCGTGTTGGGTCACCAACTTGGGTGTGCAGTGCTACGTTTCGATCCGACGATAATTCCCATTATGGATTCCACGGATGAACCCGCCGAAAAGCGACCAAAACCGGCTGCTGCCGCAACAGAGGTCTCCGATGTGGTATGCGTAGAAAACGATGTGCGATGTCGGTACTTTGTCCAACGGAAGAAGCGCTACTGTAAGATGACGGTCGGCAAAGGTAAGCTGTACTGTGGTGAACACGAGGTACATGCCGACAGTGGAACTCAACAGCAAGATGTGCCAGGTAGCGGTCGAATCCCATGCCCGTTGGATCCGAAGCATTCCATATCGGCAGCAAAGCTGGACAAGCACCTGAAGATTTGCAATGCCAAGCCGAAGGAACTGCCGGAATACATCGAACCGGGGATCAATGCCGAGTCTGACGGGGAAGGTTGCGATCTGGTGAACGAAGAGAAAGATTTGAAATTGTCGGATGTTCCGCTGGAGGAGTTGGAATCGTTGGTGAAGAAGATAGAGGACATTTTTGAGGTGACGCAGATTGGGGTGATTGAGGAAATGATGCTGGAACATGAGGCATGCAAAGAGGAGCTGTCGAACGAGACTTACGGTCCACAGACGTTGAAGCATCTGGTGCAGTCGGCTTCACTGTTGGCAATTTTGGAGCGAGAGAAGTTCTTCCGGCAAGATACGGCTTTTGTGGAGTTTGGAGCAGGTAAGGGTCAAGTCGCGTTCTGGCTAGCTACGATCCTGCAGAAGTCGGGTTTGAGTAACGTGAAGGTGTTCCTGGTGGATAAAGCGTCTCATCGGCATAAAAAGGACAACAAGATCGAGGATCGGGAGATTATCCAGAGGATTCGGGCGGACATCGGTGATCTCGTGCTGCGGAAGCTGGATGTGCTGAAAGGCAGCAGGAATGTGGTAGGAGTAGGGAAACATCTTTGCGGAGGAGCCACGGATTTAGCGTTGCGTTGTCTGATTCGGGCAAATAAGGACAAAACAGGAGACGATCAACTGCAGTCGGAAGGATTCCTTTTTGCCCTATGCTGCCATCATCGATGCGACTGGAAGACGTATGCCGGGAAGAAGTTCCTTCTGGAGAAGGGGATCGGAAGAAAGGAGTTTAATTTGATCGTTAAAATGGTCAGTTGGGCGGTATGCGGTTCCGGAACTAGTCGAGAGAGGCGGAAGAACGAGACGACCGATGACGGAGATGGGATTAAGTATGGATTGACGAGAACCCGACGGGAGGAGATTGGAAGGAGGTGCAAACGAGTGCTGGACTGGGGACGGATTCAACATTTGAACCAGAATGGGTTTGCGGCAGGACTCAAATTCTACGCTAAAAGTGAAATAACTCTGGAAAATGTATGCCTAGTTGGACACGTGAAATAAAGGCTTTCTTTCGGAAATAGACAAATTGTCTAACTTCATCAAATATTCCAATTCATTACACTCCAATTAACAAAACTATAGGTACTCACGCATATTCATTCTCTCTTGATTTCCTGTCCTTTACTGTTGGATTGAGCTACATAGGCGGACGTGATTCCGCCCAGGGTTCGATTGACCACATCCCGTAAGAGGTGCGGCTTGCAGTGCTCTTCCAGCCATGGAATCACACCGGACGTCAGTTCAGCAAAGTCGTTCATTGGTAGCTGCTCAAATGTCACAAACATCTCGTCCATAATGGCCTTGAAGACCTGGAACTTGACGTCATCACTCAGGCGAGCCTCCGTTCTACCGGGTGATTGTTGCTGCTGTTGTAACATATGTTCATAGTTTTTCTGAATGATTCGCAACGCCATTACTTCCTTCTGAAGCGAAGCGCGGTCTTCATCTTGCTTCTTTTTGTGCTGATGAAGGTAGCCTATGTAGTCGATGGATTTTTGTAGCACCGAGGCCTTGCTCAGTTTGTATCCGGAGGCATCCGTTTGCTGGCAGGTGGGGACCAATTCCTGCAATGAATCGTAGCCCTTCTTGATGGCATCACGACGTTTCTGTTCCGCCTGTGTATGGGCTTCCCGGCGCCGTTCCTTATAGCTCTGGGTGCTACTTTTGTTGTTATCACCCGAGTCTTCTTCGTCCTCTGTGGAGTATTGGAACGAAGTCAGATGCGCCAATTGAAACGATAAGAAACAACCATTTACCTGTATTGTGAGCCGACGATGTTGGCGTATGGACACTGCCCGCACTCGAACAGCGCGAATACATGCTGCGATCCTTTTCCGAAGGACTGGATGGCTCCATTTTCATGTCCATCTCATGCTTGACGCCTTTCACAGATGGAAAGAAAAAGGTCGGTATCAAACAACAAACGCGTCAGCCGAAAAACTACTAACTTTCTGACATGCTGCCACACTGTTCCTCCTGCTAGTGCTCGCTACTACCACTTGGCCACAGAGGATTTATCTTTCGCACATTAGCCGCTCCGCTCAGCGCACTGGTGTGATGATAATGCAATCCTACGCCCAACACACTCTTCAAACAATTGGCCAGCCAATGGATGATGAGCGGGATAATTTAGATTTCCTTCCTTTGTTTTCTCACCCGGTTGGCTTTTCGAACGACACTGATAACGTCTTTACTGATAAGAAAAGGCCACACTCGTGCACGAGACGAGACGATGAGGCAGATTCCGTGGGTGCAGCCGGAGCCAGCCACGAAACGACGAGACGAGATGAACGGAAAACGCAAACCCTTTTTGGAATTAAGAAAACAAAAACAAACATTGACAGATTATATATACGTCGTTTGCGTGCGTGTTTCAATGGGCGGCCTCTACTGTATAGCACGCAATTCGGGTGGAATTTGCACGCGAGATTTCGCGAGGTTCTCGACCAACAATTGAAAAGGGGCTATCGGATTGAAAGCTTTGGTGACGAACGCGCCCGCCCTAATAAATATAACTATAGAAGATAACTTAACGACGAGTTCGGGGTATCATACAAACCATTTGTGGGATAGTAAACCCTTCCGTGCTACAGTTCGTTTATGGTATTTGTTTATTAGAGTGACCCACCATTCGTGAAACTTCTTCAAAGTTCTTTATACAAAAAATAAAGATTAATGCCGGTAATTCTTTACTGTTAAGTTTCTTTGATTTCGATGAATATATTTAAAAATCTTTTTTGATCGATACTTACCTTTAAGATAATTTATTTATCGGTTGCATGATAGTAATCTATAGAGGTGCCATAGTAAGTTTCGTTCAATTTCGATATGTCACAAGGACTTAAGTTTTCGCTAAGAGGAAGAGGTGACAATTGGCTTCTTCCTCTTTTATTTCTATCTCTATCTCTATTTTTATCTATCTCTATCTCTATCTTACGCACATGAAATCGGCCAATCAGGAGCTGGTTCACGTTTGACAGAAAAGTGGTTTTTTTTCGCCCCCGTATTGTCACCTTTTCTCTTAGAGTTTTCGTTATAAATATTCATCAAAAAATAATTGAATACTGATACAGGGGCAGGCTTGGGGGCAGGGGGTCAGTCACTCTGTCACATTGTGCTAACACCTTCAGAAACACTATTCAAACACCCATGATAAGCAAATGTTTTAATTAATTGACCACTTTGTCAAGCCAGTTTTGGCGTGACTTTCTACCAGCGATTTCACAAAACTAGGAACAGTAGCTAAAAAATGTAAAGATGTCTTGTAAAAAATACATACGCAACGGAACAGGGTCTGATTGTCTACTCTATTTAGGTTTTATCCAGCAGCAGCCCAATCATGACTTGCTTGATCTTTCTTCCCGGGTGGCACGTGCCCATTCGTCTTCTTCCTGCAGCGAGAGGGCCAATGCCCGTTATATAGCTGGCGGTCCTTTTCAGATATAACTCCTAAAGTTCATCAAATGCGGTCGTATTAGCACCGACAACCCGACATGAAACTTAAACTTAACTCTTGACCTGTGCGTATCTTGCATATTTCCATCGGTAGGGGTTTTATTTTAGTATTTTTCACATATTTGAATGGATTTATAGCTCAAATAACACCACATTAAAAATCCGGAAAATCATAACCGCTAGGGTAGTTTTATAAATCTTCACTTTTCTTAACAAAAATATGTGGAAGCACCAGCTGGATCACTGCAAAATCGATACAGGAAACAAAATATTCCATGTGGATGATGATTACAAACACCTGGATAAATTATCAGAAAAGGTGAAAACATTTTCCTCTTTGTATGCTTCACGGCGAAAATTTCAGCACTCATCACTCTTTTGATGGTTCCCTTATTCGCCACCAGAGGCTGAAGCGATCGCTTAGTTTCTATTGGAGATATTCATACATCAGCTTGAATTACGTAGATCGATATTACATTTTTTTTTGCTGCGTATAGAAATTTTCACGTCGGTTTATATTGGTGCGATATGTGAGAGCATGTTAGTAAATATCCGAGGAAAATACATAACAAATCGATGTCAAAATCATTTTGACAGATCTACTTTCATACATTTTTTAGGTTCGCCAGAGGAAAATAATGAAAAACTTTACACGGCGTTGCCTCCACTAGTGTGCGTGCGTTAAACGTCACTAATCGCTATACGTGACGTACAAGGGGGGGAGGTGGCTGTCAAATACGAACAATCGACGCCTACCTCGCATAACTGCCCGCATAAACGCGAACCATAAATTGACCTTACCTAAAATGGTTAAAAATTGTTTATAATCCCTGCTAAACTTTAACTGAAATGGTTATGGAACTTTACATGAACGTTTAATGATAAAGTTTCAACCTTATGTATTAAGGTTTTTTGGAACTGGACCTTACAAATAATGGGTTGTTAAGAACCATTACCATTCCAAATTCTTGTTTTCTCCATACATTTTCAGAAAGAGAACTATATAAGAACGTTTTTACTTATGATTTGAGAACATTAATGGTAATGGTTATGGTAGTCAGTAAGGTCCATTAATGGTTTTGTATTATCGCTCAACTTTACGTGGAATATATCGTGAATTGGTAATCAGTAAATTACAGGCAACCAATTCGCGATATATTCCACATAAAGTTGATCGATGTTACAAAACCATTCGTGGACCTTACTGACTACCATAACCATTACCATTAAAGTTCTCAAACCATAAGTTAAAAGGTTCTAATATAGTTCTCTTTCCGAAAATGTATGGAGAAAACAAGAATTTGGAACGGTAATGGTTCTTAACAACCCATTATTTGTAAGGTCCAGTTCCAAAAAACCTTAATACATAAGGTTGGAACTTTATCATTAAACGTTCATGTAAAGTTCCATAACCATTTCAGTTAAAGTTTAGCAGGGATTATAAACAATTTTTAACCATTTTAGGTAAGGTCAATTTATGGTTCGCGTTTATGCGGGTGGTTCCAAACGTAAACAAGCCATAAGAAACCTACAGCATTTGTTTACGTTTGGAACCAGTTTCATACAAGATGATCAGTAGGCTGATTTGACCGAGGGGGGCGACTCTATCTACGATGCAGGAAATATTGTGTTTTGCTGTGGCTAGCTGCGCGTCACTGAGTAGATAGAAAGAAGATTTATCACGATTTTGAAGATTTCCTGCAAAAAGATGATGCGCGATGCAAGTAGATGCGAGAAATGAAAGAAGATTTTTCAAAGATTTATTCGCTAGTGTGAGATTTATTGAGCATCTAGAATTGAGATTTAGATGTGTCGCCCCCTCGGATTTGACAGCACATCCCTCCCCAGGTGACGTAGTGTGAACATTTCAAATTGACGAGTGCACGGATGGATTTTAGTTCACTCACTCGACAAAAAGTGACACAACAGCGGGGCCCTGTTTACTAAAAATGAACACATGAATAATGCTCGCGTAACATTTAAAAGGGCCTATCAACTTTTGTAAATAATTTGCTAGGTCCTTTTCACGAGAACCGAAGTACGCCCACGCAAACCAAGAGCACTATCGGGAAAGGGAGAATTTCCTCTGCCCGATTGTGTTGTTAGTTTACGTGAGCGTATTCGGTTCGCGCGAAAAAGGCTCAACATGTTTTGTGTACATAAGTTGATAGACCCGTTTCAAATGTTACGTGAGTATTATTCATGTGTTTATTTTAAGTAAACAGGGCCCGCTGTTGTGTCACTTTTTGTCGAGTGAGTGAACTCAAATCCATTCGTGCACTCGTCAATGATCCTATCTGCTTTGAGTGATTCTCTTCATCGACTTCCTCTTTTGATAACCACTGCTATGCAAACAGGTTTTGCGCTATTTTTACCTCATAGTTTGTTAAAGGAGGTTCTTATCTAGCGTCCAAAACGTTAAATACAACAGGGAAAGGTTATACAGCTGAGTTATCAACGATAGAGAATCGATCAATTCAGATAGGACCTTTTGAAATGTTTATCTTGAATTGACATCGGTCTGTCACTTCGTTACTTATAATCGAATGGAAGTTATCTGGCATCACTGATCAGTGTTTGTTATTGAATGAGAACGCGCGCGAGTCCGCATCATCAGCAGTCGCATTTTTTTATGTTCCGGAAGCTATTGCACATCAGAAATTTGTTTACCATGCCTTCCGAAGCAGCAGCCACCATCCCGTCGCGTAACATCGAAATCAAAGCTCAAATCGCGGACGAGGAAGCCTTCCAGCAAAAGGTGACGATTGCCAAGCAGCTAACCGGTACCAGTGGCGAGATCATCAAGCAGCACGACGTATTCTTCAATGCCGAAAAGGGACGGCTTAAGCTGCGCTATCTGGAGGTAAGACTTTGATCAAGGGTGATTTTCTGCATGGTATATCGCATATCGTTGAAAATTGTTGTCCGCATAGGACGAAATCAGTGGTGAAATGGCTAGTGTTAAGAAGGTGAAGGATTTGTTCAATCGGGGAAGAGGGACGGTGGAGATCGTTGGAGGTAGAAGGACAATCGAGCTGGATGACGACTATCAACATGTCGATCCAGAGGTGGAATATCTGATCGAAAATCAACCGCAAGAAGACGATGCCAGTGATGCGTTCAAGGAGCTAATAAGTAGCTTAGAATATGGTTACAGTTCTCACTGTAGTTGCTCGCAGGATGCCTCCTGCACGGAAAGATCATCCTGTCCGATGGGAGGGAACTACATAACTCATGGAGATGAACTTATCCTATCAGAAAACGTAGACATCATTTTCGAGTGTTTCGAATCGTGTGGCTGTCAAGGAACCTGCTTGAACCGATTGGTTCAATTTGGTCCGAGAAAGCAGCTGGAAACCAATAATAGCCTGACAGTGCCACAACAGCTAGGACTGTTTACTAAAGCAGCGATTTCAAAGGGTGCTTTCATCTGCGAATATGCTGGAGAAATCCTCACCCGACAGGAAGCAGAAAGACGAAACAAATCTAACGATTCTCGAGGCAGGAAAAATTACGTTCTCTGCTTGAACGAGCTATCCTCGGATCAGCAGATCCGAACGCAAACATTCATTGATCCTCAAAAGAAAGGAAACATCGGTCGCTACATGAACCACAGCTGCGATCCAAACTGTCTGACCGTTTCCGTTCACATCGGTGGACCACCCCCTAGAATTGGAATTTTCGCCCGGCGAGATATCTCCAGTGGAGAGGAACTGTTTTTCGACTACGGTGGAGGATCTCAATACCAATCCATCGGCTCCATACCATGTCTCTGCCGATCGAAAAACTGCCGTGGAAGTCTTCCGTCGCTGAAATACTACTGAACTAGCGATTCTATTTGTTCCATTGCAGACGAAAAAGTCCGAGCTGATTCAGTACTTCCGACCGGATGTAGGTGGTCCAAAGCTGTCCACCTATCACAAACTCGATCTGGATGAGCCGAAACTGATGGAAACGATCCTCGCCGAAAGCATCGGCATCAAGGGTGAGGTCAAGAAACATCGGCATCTGTTCCTGCACGAGCAAACACGGATCCACCTGGACGATGTGGACGGATTGGGTTACTTTTTGGAATTTGAGGTCGTACTCAAACCGGAGCAAAGTGTAGACGAGGGTGCGGAGATTGCTAATGAAATGATGAAAAAGTTCAAAATTGAAGAGAAGGACCTGATCCAGGGGGCTTACATGGACAAATTGTTGAAATAAAGCTAAAATGTAAATAGTTAAATGGTTTTTATTAGTATCACCTTCCTAAGCGTTGGCAACTTTGTCAATGATCGTTTTGTAGATATCGATACCCTTCAAATAGGTATCGGCTTGAAGGAACTCGTCGTGATCATGCAGCAGGACAGGGGTGTGATTCATGGGGGAGAATCCAATGGCGGGGATTCCAATGCCTCTGATATATCGGCTGTCTGTTCCACCGGGGAAGATTTGTGGCTTGACCTGGAGGCCCAGTTCATCCAGAGCATCCTTGAAGGCCACCCAGTAGCGATTAGATCCGTCCAAGGTGGTTGGTTTCACGAACGGAGCTTTCTGGTCGTACTCTAGTTCGATACCTCCGCCGGCCTCTCGACACCAATCCAGAAGCTGGTTCTCAAATTCCAAATGTTTTACATCAACGGCGAGGCGAATGTCGAAGCATACCATCAATTCTGGAGGAACGACGTTGCTTTGAACTCCACCCTAGATGAGTAGAATAACAAGAATGATCATTCCGGTTCGAACCAAACTCGATCACAGACACACTTACCGACATCATAGTGATGTTGACCGTCGTAACGTCTCCGATCGTAAATTCTGGATTGTTTTCCAACTTCTTTACCTCTTGTTCACGCATATCCATCAGTTTATCGATGAGGTAGCGTGCCTTCTCACCAGCTGTACCCTTCAAGAGCAAAGACCCATGGCCCGGGGTGCCCGAGATATGGAACAAGACATCTGTGAACAAATTGTTTCAGTAACCATTTCAATAGGTGAAAAAAATCATTCAACTCACGCCACACGCTTCGCTCTCCGTAGAACAGTGGATACTCCTCATCAGGACCAGCGATGCCCTCGTCGATCGCGAATCCACAGTTCAACTTTCGGAAGCCCTCCTTATGAACGAACTCCATCATTCCCAGTTTTCCACCGATTTCCTCATCCGGGACGAACGTTGCATGGATAGTCCTCTTCAGTCTTACCCCATCCCGTTTCAATAACCTGATTGCACCGAGAAATTGCATTCCAACGCACTTCATATCCTGCGCACCGCGGGCGAAGATCTTTCCCTCGTGGTCCATATCGGCAGCGAACGGTGGATGGCTCCACATTTCCTGATACACCGGGACCACGTCCATGTGCGAGTTCAAAATGATGGACTTCTCCGCGGGATCCGTACCTACCCATGTTATAATTACGATCGGTTTCCGGGGGTTTACCTCGATCACCTGCACCGGGAGCTCCAGGGACTCCGCTTGGCGCCGTAGAAATTCAACGCAATCATCTGTTGTTTTTAGAAATATAAGAAAATAGATAGTGGGTTGTAAACGGTTGTCTTATCTGTTTGCACTCCTGGTGATGGGGCTTTATCGCTGGCAGACAGCTTAAGTTTGCGAGGGACTGAGATGAATTGTAACTTCACTATGTACATTATAATCGAGACTGGAATCAACGGCGTGAGATAAATCTCTAAATTGCACTGAAAACCGTAACGATGTGGGCATAATCGGGATGGAAACACTGCACTAGTGTCGGTTGTGCAAAATAGCCACACAAGCCCCTCCGGATGTGGTAATTTCGTATTCCATCACTAGATTAGCAGTAATTGGAAACGAGATTGCAATTGAAACGAAATCATCCCACGCTACAGTGGAATTGAGAGTTGCATTTTTTCACACCACTAACATACCGTAATTCACATCTGGATGCACCGTAGGAATACGCAAATATTCACGGAATATTTTGATCTCTTCATTATTCTCCCACTCTTGGTACTTTTTGTAACAGTCCGATTCGCGTTCACACATTGTAAGCGTTTATCTACTCTACTTTAAGCTGCAAACTTTTCCTATGCCTGATACAAATTTGAATGAACTTATGGGTCAGCTTCGACTATCAGCACGGAACTGTGATAATTCTAGCTACTATCAGCGGCCTTTATATCAACTTTGGGCGAGATGTGCGACACTCTCTGATTCTCCATTTATTTACTAATAGCTTAAACATCACTGCACACAGTGACATGCTGCGAGAGCAGTGCACGCTGTTACTCAATTTAGAGAGCAATAAGTAAAGCACGACGATTGTGCGCATCAGCAGCGTGAGAAAGTCATTCAACTGCTATACACTAAAAACCGGTAGACCCAAAGTGAGATTAATCTTTATCAGCGTAGGAGAAGTCATGGTGCACCTACTACTTAGGGTTGATGCATATATTATGTCACGCTCTAGGGGGGGTTCTAAGATTGTGTGACCAGCAATGCATTAGGTATAGGAAAAACGTCACGATAGGGGGGGGTACATTTCTCCTCGATTTAGCGTGACATAATTAATGCATGGGCCCTTAATACTCTCCCAAACGGTATGCTTCTGCTTGGGGAATCGAAAGCAACGTATGGAGGAACCATAATCTAGTGAAAGCGCAAAAAACATTCACCAAGATGTGTTTGTAATATACAAAGCAGTGAACGAAGCAAGAAAGCATTTGTCTCTATTTGCTCCCTCGGCTATCTACTAACCACAGAAATTTTGGAAACGTTCATCTAGAAATTTCTGTGTATGGATCGTGATCGTATAACATGTTTGCACTATACACTTAATAATAGATTTTCAAGCAGGATCTGGACCACTGCTCGTTGGAAACTCTTCGGTGAGAAAGCGATGCAGTGTATTGGAATTAGAACTTGTCACACCCCGAACAAAAATTTAAATACAAAATAACCGTACCGTACTTACTTCTATTATGGGCTAAATTCCATCTACGCCGAACGGAGAACTGCTATCCTTTGGCTAAACTCTTGCTCTTTCAGTTGCTATGGACGGTTTCAGGGACTGAAGTGTCCTAACGTCTTCCCCAACTGCGAGGTATACCACACAGAGTCGACGATCGTTCTACTATAGCTTACCGTGATTTACAAAGCTTCACCGCCGAACATAGTTCGCAGCAGAAGAATTCAGAAGATTCATGACCGAAGGCTACCGAATATATTGACGCGAAGGAGAATTATTTACAGTAAAATTGATGATGTGAATACAGATAATATTGTCAATATCGACGTATTGACAATGCGAAAGAAACGGACACACAAGGCTTTTCAAGTTACTACCTAGGACAATCAACGAGTAAGCAATGGAGTAGGGTAGAGAACAACTTCGGCCTAAGCGCCCATTTAGGGCCAATCAAGCAGAAAACATCAAATAAATCCATGATTTCGGCGTTAACAGGTACACACTTAGATTTTTTCGCCGAGATGGGCACCACCGAGCAGCTCGGCATTTTATTTTGCTGGATCTCAGTGAAAAACTTGCCGAGATTCAGCTAACAAACGGGAATTTTGCCGAGATCTCAGCTAACAAACATATTTTTTGCTGAATTTCCAGCAAAATAAAATGCCGAGCTGCTCGGTGGTGCCCATCTCGGCAAAAAAATCTAAGTGTGTAAACTCTGCTTTTGGTACGATAGTTTAGTTCAAATGCTACCGAACGAAGTCAACAAGAACGTATGATAAAAATTTGTCCACCTAATATTCTCAAATACACATGAAGCGCTCCGACCGAATCAATCTTTATCTTCATCCGATAGGTCGAAGTGAAATCATTGGCGTTTCAATGTATTAGACAGAGTTAAGAATCTGTAGGCCGAGTTTGGCGTCAAGAAGAAGTGTTAGACTTTTAACAATATCTCTACAATTTGTTTTTCTTTATCAAATCTTACGGTACTTACGGAAAGGTAAATAAATTTAGAAGCTATCAGTAATAATAACATTCCGGTTGGTGCTAAACTACGCAAGATTAAGAAAGACTAAGTGCGGGTTGTGCTTAGTAGACCGGAAATGGGGTAGTTAACCCTACCTGTTTCTACAGGAGATAAGATTTAAGTTTACTATCCTTCTAGGGAAACCTTCAAAAGAGTGATGAGGGCTGAAAATTTCGCCGTGATGCAATGGCGATACGATACGCTAATGACGAATAGCAGAAATAGAAATACAATGTATGATGACGGTTTCACAATTTTGCAGGAGAGAAATCTTAAAAGACATTTATTAGGGGAAATGACGGCTTCGGGCTGACAGACTATTTTCGGCAACCCAAATTGAAACACTATTTTCACTGGATTTTCTTACGAAAACACTTCGCTGAATGCATGTAAACGATTCTTTATGCTTTCAGCTTCGATTTGACTATATTTTTACCACTGAGAAAAATCAATCTAGCAAGGTTTTCTTGAAATGCAACACACGCACTACAAATTGTAGTTGATTTCGAGTTGCCGATAATAGAACAGGAGATTTACATGCAGTTCAAATGGAACGGTTGCCGAAGAAAAACTGGTTGCCGACAATACTCGCTCTCACTAGAGAAGATTGGAGCTTTGTAAAAGCGTTTCAAATCAGTTTTTGACAATTCTTTCGACTGAAATTGTTAGAGCAGCTGGCAGCAAAAGATTGTAAACAAACCAATAATGCATATGTGTGCGTTCCTTAGAGAAAAAGGCTATAGAAAGAAGGTCGCTGCTTAGGTTGCCGAGAATACGTAAATTCCCCTATCTGAAAAAAAAATTAATAATTTTTTTGGTTCTTTAATTTCCAAAAAAAATATCGGTTTTTATACGGTTTTAACAGGCGATTTTCTGAGCACAAGGATATTTTGGTCGATGCTATATAGGGTTTTTGATCTAATTTCCATCCTACTAAGCACAACCCGCGCTTTCCCTTTCTTTTTTCATCAAAAAATGGAATATTTCTGTCAAAGATGAGTTCTAAATTTATTCACCTTTCCACTCGCCTTTCCATACCTACCGTTGGATTTGATATAGAGTCACAAATTGTTGAGATATTGTTTAAAATCTATTACTGCTTCTTGATTCTAAATTCGTCCTACGAGTTTCAATTCCGTCCTAACGCATTGAAACGCCAATCGATTTTCTTCGTCCTATGGATAAACGTAGAAAAAGAGGATTCGTTAGGAGCGTAAACATTCATACAATGCGCTCTAATAGGATTTATGTTGTAGTTAATGGCTACACGATGACCGGGAACAATTCAAGTGTCCCTATCGAGAGCTGACGGGATGTCTGACATACCTCATGCTGTCTTCCCGTCCGGAGATTTGTGCCGTCTGTTCCAGAGTGCGCCATCAGAGGAACATTGGAAGGCTCTCAAAAGAGTCCTACGCTACCTTCAAGGGTGTCTATCATCGTGACGAGGAGTACGTTCCACTGCTCGGGTTTGCGGACGCAGATTGGGGCGGCGATGTGAACGATAGAAGATCCACGTCAGGATTCTGCTTCAAAGTTTTCGGCAACACGGTGACATGGGTTACACGCAAGCAAGCAACCATTTCGTTGTCCTCAACCGAGGCGGAATACGTTTCTCTGAGCCAGGCTGCATGCGAGGCAATTTGGCTACGAAATCTCGTTACGGGGTTTGGTTTTGTGCTGGATGCACCTCTTGTCATCTTCGAGGACAACCAGTCCTGCATCCAAATTGCGAAGGAGTCAAGGGACCAAAAACGGCTCAAACATCTTGACATCCGGTACAACTTTGTTCGAGCAACGAGAGATTGAGGTGAGATATGTACCGACTCAGGATCAAGTTGCTGATATCTTCACCAAGGGCGGAGAGCTTCAAGAACCATCGTAACACGCTTGGTTTGAGAGGGGGTGATGTGAAGCAAACCGAAATATGAAGCTGAGATAAAAAGTAGCAGGCTTTGTAATTAATCAATTAGCTATATAAGTTCCTGTGAGATTATACTCATTCTCTGTTAGCTCGCTCTCTCGAGTTGTTTGAAAAGTTCGTGGCGTTAGTGTTCGCGCTCTCTCTTTCGCGGTTTGTCGTGCGTGTGTGTGTGTGCCCCGTAATGGGGAAGCATCGGTCGCGAAGCCCGGCGAAGGTCCAGAACCCCGGTGAAGGAAGCTCCGGTGTGCCTACCTCGAACAGGTTTGCTGTTCTCCCCATGGATGGGAATATCCAGCCAGCTGTGTTGGAAAAACGCAGCAAGAAGAGGAAGAAGAATCGAGGCCAGTCCGATGTCACTGCGACGAACGCCAGCGACATCGGTGATTTCGGCAACGCCATCGGCAACGAAAATTCTGCCGGCCCGAGTGCAGCAAAAGTGAAGCTACCTCCATTGGTAGTGAAAAATGCGCATCTTAATGAGCTCATCGCAGATCTAGCGACGCTGGGCGTTAAAGCCGAATACAAGTTGGGCAGAGTCGGCACCAAGGTGGTGCTCCGTACCAAAGCGGAGTATGACTTGGTCGTCACCCACCTGAGGACTTCCAAGGTGGAATTCTTCACCCACGACATTCCCGGTGAGAAGCCATTCAAGGTCGTCATTAGGGGCCTACCAAACTTCGACCCGAAGTTTATCGAAGCTGAAATCAGAGACCGGACAAGGAAGGACGAAAACGTGAAGGCGTATCCGGATAGCCTTTTCCTGGTACACTTCCAGAAGGGAACGGTGACACTCAACGCGCTGAAGGCCATCCGCTCCATCAATTCCATCATCGTTCGCTGGGAGCCATACCGTGGCGGCCATCGTGATGTGACTCAGTGCCAACGGTGTCTGAACTTTGGACACGGCACCCGAAACTGCAACATTAAGCCACGCTGTGGCAATTGCGCTCAAGACCACGCCACTTCCGACTGCCCTGCGGATGGAGCAGTGGAGTTAAAATGCGCCAACTGTGGTTCCGACAGACAGTGCTCCAAACGCGAGGATTTCAAGCGCATCCGAAATCAAGCGTCCACCAACAATCAACCAGCACGAAGGAAGGATAAGGCCCCGGCTTTCAGGACGGAGGACTTTCCGCCTCTTCATGGTCAAGCGAATCCAAGGGTGCGATCCGTGCCCCCTGGAT